ACTTAATCTATAAAGAGCTGAATTACCTTCACTTTCCCTTCGGATCATAATGTGGTTTTACTTAATTTGATTTTTTTGGCTTCCACAGATACTGAGATCTGTTTTTTCAGTTGCTGAGTCAAGAGGGAGGTAGAGAGGCCTCCAGGGTTCCAGCCACTGTTGTAAATGTGGGGAGGAAGATGGGCACAGCTGGTTGTATATCCTATGCTCTGGGGTTCCAGATCTGAGACTCTGCAGTCTGCGTGCTGTCAGTGCGATTCACAAGATCAATTCCAGCCCCAAGGTGTTGGCAGTAGCAGGAGTGAAGTCCAAAGAACACTCTGATCTTCTTAACTGTGTCCCATCTTGTGTGAAACACCCTAGCCCCTCCAAATGTTTCCCCTCAGTTAAGGGTGTGTGTAAGAGTGTGTGACTTTATACTTTTTAATTTTCTCATCCCTGGTTCCTTTTTTGAGCCTGCACCCCCACCATCTGGACCTACACCCTCCAGGCATTTCTCTCCACTATTTCCTGTTAAATGAAGCATGCCTCACCTCCGTGCATCTTCTGTACTATCTTAATTTCCCTCATCCAAGGGTTTGCCAGATTTGCTGATGCCACGAGACTATCTGGCTGTTATCCTTCTGTTTAACTGTTAGCTGATTCTCCCAGGAGCAGAGCAAGAAACCTCCTCCATCTTGTGAATTCTCTTTCAAGGGTTATTTTAACTATTATAATTTCCACCAACAAGTTCACTGTTACTGAATAGTTTCCAGTAAAATTAGGGAACATACTCTAAGCTCCAACTTCCACTTTCCCCATCAGGTAGGCTCCTGACTCTGTGCCTCCCTCTTTCAGTTATATTTTGACTTGCCAGGCTGCATGGGAGTAGAAGGCAGGCCAGAAGATGCCAGCAGGCGGTTGTACCAACTCCCTCATCTGCACACAGCATGGTGCTGTGCATAGATTTGTGTATCTAGCATGGCAATACAGTATGTTGTTTACTGACAGTTTTTCTAATATTTTGTTTGTGGAAACTCTTTGTAGAGTGTCATCACTGATCACTTATATATATCTGCTCTTATCAATAGTTCTTGGTAATAAAATAATTGCATCTACAAATAAGAGCTCTGAGTTCATAAGGCAGTTCTTGACTATAAGATAGTGATCTAGAAGACCCCCAATCACTTGGGTTATTTCATTTTCCCACTATATCACTTGGGTATTTTGGTATGAGAAATCAAAACACAAATATAAAAAATATTATTACAAGATAATTTTTAAAAGGGAAAACTGGCCAGTGTTATGCAAATATGAAAATAACTGTCAAAATTTTATTTAGCTCAGTTATTAATGAGGAAATTAATAAGATATCAATTGGTTCAATAGAAAATTCAAAGTACTACACAGACATAGTTGAGTCAGGAATGCTGAAATAAATCTACAAATAAATGTAAAAGTGACTTTTTCCTCCAGTTTGAACAGAGAGAAATCAATTTTTCCTCCACTAGAGGGAATTTGCTTGTCTTTGAATAACTATTATTTTAACTGCTTATCATTTGTCTATAACTTTGTAAATGAGCTCAAAATGCCTGTACAGAATCAGACAAACCAGAAGGGTATGCTGTATAATGCCTCTTTTCCATTGAAGATGCCCAGTCTTCTTTTGTTACCTTTCAAATTCTTTCACAATTTGTCCATTCTGTGTTTTAAGTGGAATATCTAGACCTAGTTTGAATCTATCCGTCGATCTATGGAAACCTTGTAAACTTCAATTTAGATATTTCTGTTGAGAACTGCCCTCTAGATACATATAGATGCCTCATATTAACCCTAAGTCTTAAAGGACTATAGTTCTTCTCTCAGATATAACATTAAATAAGCTAATTGGTTGAATTGGGTGACTTCTAATAATAGAACATTGATAACTAATAACAGTATTTTATGCATATTATTTCATTAAATATCACAGTAATGCTATAGGTATGTGCATTTCATGGGTGAGAAAATTCTTCCTGAACTAGCCACATGGAAAATGTTTTTTAAACATTAATGAATGGAAATCAGGGCAAAAAAAAAGATTTCTATTTAGTGAAACTTGCAACCAATAATCTGATCATATATTAGTTTAGAGGACACATGTCTCAACATGAGATGTTCAACTAATATTTATGGAATACATACAACCTCATCTGGGAGATTAAGTGTCCTATATTTCCCAAAACCCAGAGTACATGTTGTCAGAGTACTTTCCAAATAACAGAAAATTATCTGTTCATATGTTTATGAATGTATGTTTGTGAAGTTTTATTGCTGAGCTTTGAATTACTTTAGAGAAATGGCCTTGTCCACAGTGCCTAGCACAGTAACTAGTACATATTACATAATTTTTCAGCTCAGCTAAAGTATGTATATGCAGTAAATTCCTAAGATTAAATCTCTGAAAAATTCCGTCCTAAGTCACTAGTTCCAAATAGTTTATTTCCCCTTTCAAAATGTTTTACTGTAGCTAATAGGTTTTAGTGTTTAATGAATTTGTTACTTTTGTAACTATTTAGAATTTGCTTTAAGGACACAAGGAAAGGCTTGTCTCATCATCAATTATAAGTGTGCAGACTGAATATCATGATGAGACATCTCTGAGAATTAATGGGGAGGAAAATGGTGACAATGCAAATACCATAAAAAATCATCTAGAATTTTGCACCACATTTATGTACCCAGTTGATTGAGATTGAGAACGTTTCACATGCTAGTACGTACAAGATTCTTCAAATTTCATAAAGTAAATACCATATTTTTCCTTAAAGTAATTCTTAAAACACAAGTGAATGTCAATGAGTGACTAAGGAATTGGAAATACAGAGGGCCTGAAATTCACATTGGATTAAAAAAATGTACAGAAGCCCAAACTATCTAAATAGACCTAGGAGAATAAAAACTGGAAAAGTGGAAGTAAAATTTACATTAAGATGATCGGAAACTATTTCCTTGTATTACTATTCTAATCATCAACTATTTGATTATAAGGTAAAAGTAAAACATTGAGTGTTTTTAAAAATGTAGTACTTGGTCAGAATGTATGCATTTGTTATGCATTACATATCTTCAACCTATATAACAGGAGCCACAGTTCATAACTGCCATTAGGGGATTTTTAAAAAAAGATTTATTTTTATTTATTTATGCATATAAGAACTGGGTTGTGGGCCAGAGGTGTAGGGGCTGGGGGGAATGGGTGAGAGGATTCACAAGAGTGGGGAGCGGAACAGGTGGATCTACTGAAATACACTGCTGAGGGGAGCAGCAGGCGAGACAGGAGAGGTCTGCTGTGCCATGAGAGTTAGCTCCCTGACCTGAGATCCTCAGGTGAACTCAGGCCACAGTGACTGGCTAGAGCTTGATAATGCTGAGACTTTAACTCCTGTGCCAGCAAGGAGGACCTTGGGGATTTGTTTTTAATGTATTACTGCCCAGAGTAAGAAAGTAATTGTCAAGTTTGGAGTACAATCAGAATATTTTCTGTATGTTTCTGGAATGGCTCTCATGTTTGAGAGTTATCTAGAATCCCAGTTGCTTTAAGTTTAGTGGTCATTTTCCTGCCAGTTTGAGACAGATTCATAAAAATGGAGTACCACATTCCCTGCCCCCATTCATTTGCAACTGCCTTGCACTAGCAACTGGAAATTAGGGTGGGGCTGAGTAGCCATGTGAAGCTATGTGTAATGGAAGAACAAAGTCCCTTTTTTTTTTTTTTTTGTGGGACCCTCGCCAGCGGCCGGGGAATGAACTGGTGCTGCCGAGGCTGCGGGCAGCCTTGCAGCCGAGCGCTCAACCGCTGTGCCACCAGGGGAGGCCCTAAAGTCCCTTTATTCCTGTGGCCAGCCCTTCTAATACCCTGGTACTCCATGAAAGGAGACACGTGGAGAGACATGTAGAGACACCGGAAAGTGCAATGTGCGTCAGAGACACAAGGGGAAGCTGACAATGGCAGCTGATACCTAGCTATGGTTTGTCCCAGTTTTCTGGGACCTGCTTGAGAACCCCTTTCCAGTGGTTCCTGGCCAGAAGATGCCTTAGGTTTGTGGCAGGTTTTTGGACCTTAGCAGCCCTGCTTCAGGTTGACCTTCTTTGGCTGGGCATTTACCCATTAGGGGATGGATAGTCCTCTAGGACTTCCAGTATTATATTGGGTGCCAGTATTATATTGGGTGGGAGAACTACAGGGACTTCAACTAAGGAGAGAAATCAAGTACTGTCCAAAAATGAACAGTGACGCAAAAAAATGAATTTAATAAATAGCAGAATATTCTGTGTTCCCTCTCTGTGTATACCATTTCTATTACAGATCTTTCACACTTGGAGTCTATGTAGGTTAAATTAATTAGTTTTTTTGTGCCACTAGCCTCTGTGACCGTCACCTGCCACCTTCATCTTGTTGATGCAGAAGTTGCTTGGGAGCGTGGACACAGTCTCACATGTCTGATGGTAGACACCTGGAGCATGGTGTGGACAAGCGTACGTGCACACCTAGCCTAGACACCTGGATATAAGGGCAGTGTCTCCCAGAGACAAAGGACAGCAATGGGAAAGACTGCTACACGGGTATGAATGATTACAGAAGAGGCGAGAGCAGGAGAGAAAGCCAGAGAGAAAGCCAGAAAGAGCCCAGAACAGAAAGCATAGGGATTTGCAGCGTACTGGGGACTCAGTTGCCTCCAGGGCCTCCCCTCCCGCCCACCTTGCCTGCCTGCAGGCTTGCCACTTGCAGGGTGAATGGAAGTTATCAGGTTTCCCCCCCCATTAGCATCTATTATCGACACCTGTGGTCTTACACGCATTCCTGATAGTGGCCCCTGGAGCATGGTCTGCACGTGCATGGTGGGTGCACCTTAGCCAGAGGCTGAGGCTATAAGGGCAGCATCACTTAGATGGTGAGCAGCGGAGAGTGGTTACAGGAGAACATCCTAACGACCCCAGAGAGAGTAAAGACTCCCGGGGCTGGGACACCTGCCAGCCTCCAGACCCCTGTTCCCGACCTGCCCTGTGCCCTGCAGGCCTGCCACAACATCACTACATTCTGCTTTGCCTTTGTGTGCTTGCGTGGCCAGACCCTGCAAGTTTCAGGGTCCCTGGGTGCCCCTCAGTCACATGCTAAGAAGTAGAAAATCTGGTCAGAGACTGGGAAGGCCAGTGGAGACCAGAAGGGGGTACTGTACGGTGAAGGAGTTAAAAATCAGGCTTTTTTACGCCCTCCCACGACTTGCGTCTGGCCGGCACCTGTGGTCTTGCACGCCCCCCTTGATTATGGACACCTGGGCCCAAAGAGCCATGGGCCTCTGCATGTAGAAGGCGCACACCTGGGCCTAGAAAAGAGGCAGGAGAGGACACAGCAGCAGCATTCTGAGGCTGCAGAATAAGATGAGAACGCCAGGGAGAGCCCAAGAGAGAGCAGAGGTTTGTGGGGGCTGGAAGGCAGGGGGCTGGGAAGCAGGGGGGGCTGGGAAGAAGGGTGCTGGGAAGCAGGGAACTGGGAAGCAGGGGAGCTGGGAGGCAGGGGGGACTGGGAGGCAGGGGGGACTGGGAGGCAGGGGGACTGAGAGGTAGAGGGGCTGGGAGGCAGGGGGCCTGGGAGGCAGGGGGGCTGGGAGTCAGGCATTCTGTATACCTTGTTCCTTGATTCATCATTAAAAGAACTGTAACATTCACTGAGGGCTTCGAGACTCTCTATCCATCTGCCTGAATAGACAGTGAATATGCCCGCCTGGGCATGCTTTCTTGCACTGCGGGTACCCTTGTGGATATTTATTGATAGTTGATTAAATGCAAAACATTCATTATCCATTGAGGCCTTGGTTTACAGTAAGCTTCTTATTACAAAGCTAATTTTTTTAACTACTCACTAGTTCTAGCGTGTTTCTCTTAGAGCCATCTTTTAAAAATGTTGGTTTTGTTCTCGACAGTTTCACAAAATAAACAATACGAGTACCTCCCTTAGAAGGCCTAGGAATTCAGTAATTTAGTTATATGTTTGATGCTTTATTTTTTACCTTGTAATTCTATTCCTTCATCATTTTAATCTTATAAATGGCTCCTCCCATTTTGGAAATGATTTTGGACAAACTGGTTACAAAGCCTAAAAGGAAACAAGATGATTTTTAATACCAGTAGGGCTAAGGAAAAGTTTCATAAGCTTGGCAAATTAGATTGCCCACAGAGAGTCTTCATTTAAAAGAGTGTTTTTGTCGGGGGCGGGGGGCGGGGGCTGAAGACAGTGTATTTACCTGAAAGCATTTTATATTGGAATGCTGGTCTGTTCATGATTATACTTTGTTTGTATATCAACTACTGCACCTGTCACAAGCTTGGATTTATTGTGAGTAGGCAGAGTGTTTGGTGCTGGGAGAGCCGGTGCAAATCCCTCATTGGCAGTGGAGTCACCACAAGTAGATGCACCTGTCTTCCCAGCTGGGCCTTGCTTGTGAGAAAGAGGGTCACTTAATACCATGTTATCCTCATGGACAGCTGGAAAGATAAGATGCCGTAGGGTGTAGAAGACCTAAATTTTGTTCTTTTTCAAAAAAAGACCCAATGTCCAAATGAAATTTGACAGGAGAAGTATTTGCTTTGGTTCAATATATTTAGAAAATAGATTTGCTTTCATGTAAAAACATTATTTGGTTTGCTTTGGTCCAATCATGCTAACAGCTTTTAAATGACTCGGCGAACACTAATCTTTTCAGCTTAGATTAGTTTGAGGTTTAGCAAAATAGTTCATTCTGTTTTGATGCAAGCCCTTGGTTAAAATATGGGACTTCTCTTAATTTTGTAACTATAATTCTTTCTTTTTTTCTCTTTTAATTGTCTATTTTTCTCCAGCAGACTCTAAACTTCTTAATAGGAGCTATGTCTGCTTTGCTGTAGTTTTCTCTAACACACTGTTACTGTTAACTCTGGATGTATTTGTGCTATTAATAAATCTTTGTTAAATGAATGTATGGATGAAAGAATGAAGAACTGCTTTTCATTGGCTAGGAAGGTAGACTCAAGTGCTCCCTAAGCAAAATCATTCGCAGAATGAGAGGTCTCTTTCAGTCCCTTTTTGGTTTTAATCCAGGTACACTTTACATAAAATAAAATGTAGATTTTTTTAAAAGATTTATTTATGCATACAAGAGCTGGGGTACAGGCCAGAGGTGTGGGAGGTGAGAGGATTCACCAGAGACAGAGTGGGGAACAGAACAGGCAGATCTACTGAAATATACTGCTGAGGGGAGCAGCGGGCAAGTCAGGAGAGGTCTGCTGTGCCATGTGGGTTGCTCCCTGGCTGACTGGGGGATCAAACTTGTGCTGCAGAGGCCGCGGAAGCTTCATAGGTTGCGTCTTAACCCCTTGTGTCACCAGGGAGGCCCTAAAATGTAGATTTAAGGGTATAGGATCATAGATTTTTTTCAAGTGAGTATACCTTATAATGACTACCCCAGTTAAGACAAAGAATTTTTCTATTTCTGAAAGCCATGCTCTTTACAATTAATACTCCACAACTTCAGTTTATCACTGTAACCTTTTAATTTTTTTGCCTTTTCTATAATGTTGTAACCATAATGTATGTGCTTTTTGTGTCTGGATTATTTCACTTAACTTTGAGATTTTTAGATTTATCCATATTGTCTGTACAGATATTTAATCGGATTAATGGGTCTCATGAAGTTACCCATGTTGAAAATTGTAAGATGAATAAGGAAGGACTGTGAAATTTAAAAAACTACTGTATGCCTCTCCTTATAGGATTTATTGATCCCAACTTTCCCAGTCTTCAGCCATTTGCTCTTAAGAATTCCAAAGATACACAGAATTTAAGATTCCAAAAAGTATCTTAAGAATTCCAAAAATACTTTCAGAAGTAAACAGGATTTGGAAGTACCATCTAGCTGTTTTCATAGACTATGAGCCTCAATAGGCACATTGATCTAGGGGCATCTTTTAGATCTGGGAACACCCCCTGACTTCTCTGAGCTGTGCAGAGCATTACACCATTGCTTTCCTTTATTCTCATCATAGATCTATGGATAACTAATCTGTATGTAACAGGAAGAGGTTAAGTAAAAGCTCCAAAATTAGATTTTTCCACTAAAGGTCTTCTTTCAAATCTATTTTCAGTACCATAACTCTTTGGGAGTGTAGAAGATGATGTTTGGATAGAATTGCAAAGGAGAATTGCAAAGAACTGTAGTCATTTTGCAGGCAGTGGAAAGAGACTTGCCAAGTAAAGCCTGTATAAAATGGATTCATGGAATTAGAGCAGTCCATGATCGACTGCCAAAGCCAGCTTATTTTCTTTGCTAGTTCCAAAGAATGCCTGAAACTTGGTGGTGATGTAAGGCTATCTTATAGAACATGCTGGCAGAGTACACTTTTTCATGGACTCAGGTCAGTTTTATTTTAGTCTTAATGTGGTATTTAGGCTCGGGTAGGAATTTTCAGGTCAGAAAAAATTTAGGCATAGGAGATTAGGGACCAAAATGTTAGTTTATTTCATAGCAGAGTAAAGCAATAAAACAGTCTTAGTGAAGCCACAAATAGGACTATATAAGCCTAACAATTTTCAACTTCTCTCGCAGAAATGTTTTCCACTACTAGTGAGACCAAATAATAAAATTGTGGTCTAAGGAAAGTAAGTAAATAATCATGGAAAATAGTTAATATGATGTCATAACAGGTAAAGATAGCATTCATTCAAAGATGGAAAAGGGGGAGATTATAAATATTTGAAAGGAAGAAAATTCTTCCTTGAATTCAATTAAATGTTCTGTAAATGCTGACTGTTTTGTACAAGATAGTTTGATGCAAAGCATGTAGAAATTTCATGAAATGACAAGAGGAGAATCCAAACAATTTAAAAGTGTTGGTGGTATCTAAAGTGCCCCAAGAAGATTTATATATTTTTCTTTCTCTTTAGACCCATTAGAGATACTTCAAGAACTGCTCAGCCCAAGAGTAAAGAGAATTTGTGAAAACACAGAGCTTTACCCTGAGAGGAGTGCAGAAGTTTTCATTATAAGGTAACCATTGATTCCTATTTTCAACTTTGTGCTCTGAAAATTAACAAAATGGTATGTCAAAATGGACAGTATTATCAGGATTGTTAAGGGGGCTATGAGTTTTTTAAAGCATGCTGTAGTTCATGCTCTATACCTCTCATGCAAAGTATGTTCAGAAATAATTCCTTGGAAAATGTTATTGTGTTTGAAGTAGGATGACATGCAAAAACAATGGGAATTGCACAGCATTAGTCTGGCCATTTTGGTTGAAAGCATCATTAGCAGAGACTCTCTTGCTACAAGCTTCTCTTGCCTTTTTCCTGATAATTTTCCTGTGATACACTGCTCACTATAAGAGACTCCTGGCATTGACCTGCAGCCCCAGAGCCACTTCAGGGCAGAAAGGATCAAATCTTAATTCATCTGTAACCTGTTGTTTGAGGAAACTCTGTTGGGAGCAATAGATTTCCTTTTTTAAAAAGCCCTCAAGTGTCCCCTGCTTTTGTTGCTTGTCTAGTTTCTGTTTAGAGGAGTTATTTTTAGAGAAAATAAAATGTTACCTTGGGTCCTAAAATCTCATGCAAAGTTAATTATACCTAAAGATTGACCAGTATTTCTGATTTTGTATCAAGAGACTTAGACTATTTCCTCCTTCCTCTCCATCGGTACAATAATAAAGAAGAAGAACTAGAGGAGACATAGAAACATCCCCATTTGGCTGGATTCCTCGATGTCCTAGGGCTGTGGGGAAGTTTCATAAGATAAACTGCCTAAGTTTCATGAGGATTTCTCATTTTTAGTTTAGGCTTCATGTCAGTATTTGGTTTAGTTTGTGTAAATCTGGCTTTAGTTATCTTAGTCAGAACACAAGAAAAGGAAACAGATTTGGTGCTGACTCAAACCCAGACTGAATATTATAGAATCATAGGTTTCAGTTTAATTTGACCCAGGCATGCTTTGATATTTCTTCTGTTCCTTATTCAAATATCATCAGTGGTACCACCACAGTTACCACCCTAACAATAAGAAATAACAACTGGGGGAGGCCCAGTGGTATTTAACAAGAAAGACTGTCATAAAATACCCCTTAGTCTCAATTTTAGAAGCTGACTTTGCTTCTCAGGATTTTTGTCTTGTTTCAGTTCGTTTTGGTTTGGTGAAACCATTGTTGAAACCCTGGCAACCTCTGATCTTTTCAACTCCTTTCATAGCTTTTGCCTTTTTGAGACTGTCTTATAATTGAAATCATAAAGCCTATATAGCCTTCAAATTGGCTTCTTCCATTTAGTAACATGGTTTCAAGATTCCTCCATGTCTTTTCGTTACTATACAGTTCATTTCTTTTTGTTGCTGAATACTGTTCCATTCTAAGTTGTACCAGCTTATCCTGGTTGTTTATCAATGGCTCTCTTGGTTGTTTTCAAGATTGGCAGTTACATAAAATTGTTGCTATAAACACTTCTCTCAGACTTTTGTGTGGATATACATTTTAGTGTATGTCAGAGTATCATTACTGGATTATATGGTAAGATATGTTCAGTTTTGTAAGAAATTGCCAAACTGCATTTCAAAGTAGTTGTATTTTTTGCATTCCCACTAGCAATGAATAAGAATGCCTGATGTTATGCATCATTGCCAGCATTTGGTGTTGTCCGTGTTGTTAAATTTGGCTATTCTAAGTGTGTAGTGTTTTATCATTGGCTAAGGTTTTTAACAGAATTACAAGAGATTCTGATTACTCAGAAGATTTTGAAAACTTAATTCAATAAAAATGTCTTTATTATTTACTTGATAATGACATTAATTTAGAATCTGACAATATTCTCTATGATAATGCAGTCTTATGAAATATGTGTATGTGCCTATGCATATATATTTTATATTATAGAAAAAGACCAAAATAAGCAAATAATTTTATAATAATATACCTTGAAAATAAAATAAGGCAGAGTATATTAAATCTTTATTTATAAAAATGAAATGTACATATACTATAGATCCTTATATTAAAACAAATCATGCTTGCATAAAGTTAGTTTAGACATAAATATTTTATTTATAAGTCACATCAAATTAGGCATTTCTAATTATTTTACTCACTAAAATGCAGCCATGCAGCTATAGCCATAGGAAGATTCTTCATAGTCTTTTCAAGTCATCTTTTTCTGTTTGATACATGTTCCTGCTTTAGGTTTGCTTGTATTTCTGATGTACATATTTGTACATATTTCTGATGAGATAAAGTTTCACAAATAGAGGGTTACTTTCTCCAGTAAGGATTACTCCTTTCATGTTTCTGTCTTTAAACATAACACAATGTCTGTGTTTGAGAAAAAAAAATCATGACAATTGTTAGATACAAGGCTTGATTCAAAAGGGACTACCACAGTGAAATTTTGCAGTAGCGGAAAGAGATTGGGCAAAATTCCAAATATAACAAGGAAAAGTAGAAATTTATAGGCAAGGAACAGAGTGGGGGTCAGTGACTGGAAAACTGCTGAGTGTTTAGAGAGATTCTTACTAGATTGACTCAACAGAAATTCTTGCTGAAGATAGGTCTGTCTAATATGGAGATTGGGGGATGAGGAATGTGATGAGATAACAAGGAGAGAGGATTTTCAATAAACTGTCTCATCAGGATTCTTGCTAAAATTTGAGTAATTAGGAGAAGGAGACAACCCAAAGCCAGAGCCTCATTGAGAATTCAGGGGCGTTGTTCTGACCCAGATTACATCAAAGAGCATGTCTTTGTCACCTGAAACATAGTAGAATATCAGTGAACATGTGTTGTTATATATGTAGCCCTACATTAAAGACTATAGAAATCTATTAACAAAATCACTTTAAATCATGTAAATAATTTTGTGCATTAAGACTATTAAACAAAACATAGATTTGGTTATAAAATAACTAATATACATGAACAGTTTCTGTGTGCAAAGTAGCACAACAGTGATGTAAATGCAATGATATAGACATATTCTCTATTTTCTAGGAAAGAAAATACACTATTATGAAGGGGGGATGGGGTGATAGGGAAAAGGAATTGTGTTGTATCAGTGATCATAGATTAAATGTATATATACATTTTATAGATAAGTAAATACAATGTGTATTTTCTTTGGATATACCCTAAATCTAGTTTGCAACATCATTGATACAATGGTAAATAGACAAGTCTTTTTTCCCCAGACATTAGTATGAATTCTTGTTTAAATTTAATTCTACTAGGTCCCACACCTAAATTTCTAATTTGAAAGGTCCATGAATCTTCACTTTTAACAAGCATACTGGTTATTTTATTACAGATGATCTGTAGGCCATATTTCAAAAAACACTGACCTATACCATTTATAATTCTCTATGGATTGTGGTTAATGTTGGCATTTATGCCTGATAATAAGATAATAGGGAGATCAGACCTATATATAGAAACCATGAGAATGTGCCAACAAGATTGTGTAAGTTCCTGGCTTCTTGCAATAGTGTGGTTAATGGAAGATTTTCTTAGAATCTAAAATTGAGAAGATAAAGTAATTGTGGAGACCAACACAAAATTTGTGTTCAAGATTAGGATGTTTAGGGAAAAAATGCTTGTTTTGTAAACATAATACATTTTCAAAATAGATAAAATATAATGCATTACATAAATATTCAATGAATAGTTTATTCCAAAGTTACCAATTATGTATTTATAATTATAGGGAATGTGATAAGTACCTAGAGAAGCTTAGTAATAGGGAAATGAAGTTTGTACCCTCTCCCAATAGAATATTATTTTCACTGCTTTGAAGAATGGTGACATTTAGAAAGAATCTAACAAGAAAAGTGTGAACCTGTTTAGTATACTGTTTTCACATACGCTATGTGTATATATGTGGTGAAATTTAAGAGGTATAGAACCCTAAAATGTTCTTTGATAGAATGTGGTACTCATAAAATCAAATCTTAGAATATCAAACTGGATAAATTGAATTAATAATATCCAGAATCAGAAGCTTTTGATCATGCATTTTAATAATATAAGTAAATCTTCAGGTCAAAAGTTATTTTCAGATTATGCTACTATTGAGCCCCAAGTAACATATCTAAAGCACTGATACTCACTTCTAGCTCACTATTAAATCATTTCAGGGGATTTTGAAAATACGAATTCTTTAAAACTAGACAAGTGACTCAGAATTTAGAGACCTCAAATCAAAAATTTTTTAGATGGCTTACTGATAACTTTATGGATTTGGATTTTTCATTAGAAAGGTTTGTAACTACTGCTGTGGGAAAGACATTTTGCATCTTCAAGAGTTTCTACATGATGAGTGTATGACCAAAAAATAAAAGAAACTGCACAAGGCAAAATAATGTCAAAGTCTGCATTGTTTATTGTATGTAGCATAGTAAAGTGGAGGTTCAGAGGAGGAAAGAGTAACACAAAGGGGATTGTTTGGAGGGACTCTAGAACAGGAACCTCAATAGCAGTGGTGATAGGAGTAGGGCGATGTTGCAGAAACTATATGCTTTTTCATCATCCTTACAACAAGAAAGTTGTTAAGACAAGAAGTGGCGAGAAAATCAGACCTGGAAACAGTCAGAGGCAGTATTAAGGGTGGCACCATTTGGGGATGATAGCTTTCTCACCAAACCAAAGTGTAAGGCCTGCACCCCTTCCTTGAAAGCCCAATTCCCTTCCCTAGCTTTTCCTCCCAAGTTGGATCCTGGTCCTGAGGAAATAAATGGGGGGAAAAGGGCTCTTCCATGTTTTGGATTGGGAAGCATATAAAATCTGCACATTAGGTTTTCTTAAGTTGATGGTGAGGAAGGTGAGCAAAAATACATCAGAATACTTGTGCAAGGACACAGAATAAGTTGAACTGAGGCCTTTTCACATAGGTATGATTTTCTTCCCGTGAGAATGAAAGTTAGATATGAGGCATTTCTATAACGGGGACATCTATATGAGTAAATCAGCCAGTTATCTTGCTTTTGTGGCCTCAATTTCTTCTTAAATATAAATGCTGTTGTTT